GACCAGACAGTCTCAGTTTCTCAGGGTTTTAAGACTCTAGGAACACAATCAAAATAACTGGACCTTTAAAAGGAAGCATTTGTCAGCCCTTCTTCACCTAGAAGGCTATAGTTTTGTGAGCCCTACAGTGTGCCAGCCCTCACCCCCCACAGAGACACTGAGCATTCTTCTGCCCCTGGCAGCTTCTAGGAATGGTCTGAAGATTCACCATTTCAAATTCATAAGTGATGATCTTTTAATATTAAGCATAAGCCCACCAAAACAGTATTGTGATGCCTGTTCCAGAGAACAGAGCACAGGCTGATCCTGGGAGGATCCCTGGCTTCATTGTCAGCCTGTTTTCTCTCCTTTCCCCTCTCTCTACCCCTGCTTCACTTTTCATACCTCTAAGCTGGGTTTGCCCTTGGATCCACTTTCTGTGTCTGTCTCAGACCCAGCTGTCCCTGACCGGTAGACAAGTTTCCGGTGCTGACACCCAACCCCACCCCAGCCGGGGCACAGCTGTGGAAAACAGCCCCCACGCAGGCCTCTAGGGACCCAGGAGGCCGTGGTGTGCAGGGGAAGTGATGTATCTCTCCATTGCCTGGAACTCTGCAGATCTACATCTTAGTTACCAATCCCAACCCCCACCTTGGAGCAGGAAGGTCACCACAGGAGAGAAACTAGGATGGAATAGAGTTGGCTTCATCCCATGGTGCCCAATGGGTTGAAAATCCTCTGAGGGAGTATGGAGACACCCTAAGAGTCACAGCCAGTGACAACCCTACATGTGGCTCTGCTCCTTGAGATTGGGCCTACAAATCCAGATCTAGAGTCTTAGAACTTAAAGTGCTCTGAGGCTATGCTTCCCCCATTTTACAGATGTGGAACCTGAGGCCAGGAGGTGGATGTGACTTGTCCAAAGTCACACACACAACAAGCTGGGGCAGAAAAAAGGCTGTAAACTTTTCTTCAAACTTCTTCTCCAGACCCCTCTGGCTAGGCATAGCTGGGTGTCAATGGAGGAGGAGGGATGCTGCCAAATCAAAGAACCGGTTTTCTTTGTAAAGCTTGAACAGAATCCCTGGAGCATTTGGGAATGGGATGAAACCAGAGATATTATTCCAACAGGAGTAGCACAGATTCCCTTCCACTTCTTTGGGGCGTTTGGATGTGTGCTCACACAGGACCAGTCTAACCTGTGCGCAGAAAGTAGCCACGTTGTGATGCGCCTCCGAAAGGAAGTTCCCATGTGAGAGGGGATTATTCATCGCCACCTGAGCTGGACAGCCTACAAGAACTTCCGAACTCAAGGCGCGACCAGAACTGGTATCGTGGCCACCTAGCCCAGCCTTAGAGGCCACCAAATGGCGGCCCAGAGAAGTTACATTCCTAGCCCGAGATTACACAGCGATTCCAATGCTGAACCCAACTTTTGCGCCTCAGTCCTGTCTCTACGCCCAGAAGCCGCAGGCTATGTCCAAAAGAAAGAGACTAGCAACGAGCTGATCTCGCCGACGCGCTGATCGTGGTTGTGCTTTAAAGTCTCTCATGGCTTCTTTCAGCAGCGGGGCTTTGGGATCAACCCTATGAGAAGCGCAGGGGACAGAGACCGGGAAAGGAAATCATCCAGGTAGAAACTTAATTTATCTAAATCGAATCGCCTTTGAAAAGTTTTGCTATTGGAAGAAAGCCCATTGAGAATACTGTTTGAAGAGCTAAAACATCTTTGGAGAGAGCGTCCACCTCGGTATGCAGCCAGAGACCTCACTTCACTGGGTCACACACCCCTCCAGGTTCCCCTCTGCATGACTCCCTCTAGCGCACAGCAAAACTGTAAGTCAGAAAGCTGGGGCTGTTTAGAGCCCTGTAAAGCTGAGATCTACTCCCGCAGGGGACTCCAACCCATTTAACAGCTCTTGCTTGGGAAAGCGAGGACTTAGGGGACTCAGACCAGTTCTCAGTTCGGGAAGATCAGAGATGCTATGGGCATCTGTGTCTTAACCTGGTAGGTTCTCTCTAACCTTCCTTTAAAAAAAAAAAAAATCAAAAGAAAGAAAGCAAGTGGCTTGAAATTACAAAGCAATCTCTGATACAAAAAATCCTGCATCGTTTTCTACACCTGAATCAGAAGTCTGCCTTACTTGGCCCAAGTCTGTTTGCAGGAATCTTGAAGGATATGGGAGAGAAGGGAGAATTGAGCCAGGTTTTTCAAGAACCAAGTACACCACCTGTATTGGAGTTAGTTATCTTTATCAGCCTGGATTCTGCCCCCCCCTCCACCCAGAGACACCAGGATCACTAAAACAAACTCTTTCTCAAAGACTTGAGACTGGGGGCAGCCCTTTCTTCTAGAGCCTCAGCTTCCTCTGCACCTAATGCAGAGAGCAACCTCTGAAATGCCACTTCTGGAGGTTCTATGAGATAAAGTTCCATAGATGAAGAGTATTATTATCATTCCATTCTGGGATCATTCCAGAGCTCTGAGACTGAATGCCAGTGCCCAGTGGAAGTGTTCATTCTATACAGGTCTCCCTGGCCTAGGGACTCAGGGTCTCCCACTGCAGGTGGCTTACCCAATAGTAGTTTTCCAAGGGTGTGGGGGGAGGTGGGAGGGTAGAAATCTATCTCTTCTCTTAGTGGGAATATCTTATTGTCTAAGGGCAAGGAGTTTTTGCTTCCTATTCTCATCATGACTCCTGTTTTGTGATCTCCAGAAGTCCCTGCTCTCTCTGTATCTCTTCTTTTCTTTTTCCACACTACAATGAAAAGGCCAGAAAAGAAGATCCTTAAGAGAATTTCTGCTAAGCTATGACCTTGCCAAACCTTGAGCTTAGAACAAGGACATACTTCCTTACCACTGTACAGATAGGGATACTGAGGTTGGAGAAGGAATAAAATATGATTAGGTTCTGGAGGAAGGAAAGGGAAGTCTAGTGGTCTATGAAAGTTGTAGAGATTGGGAAAGAGGAGAAACCTTTCCAGAAACCAAACCTGGATGCCCTGAGTACCAGCCTGGACCCCTGCTAGCCCGGCCCCCCATATTTCCAGCCAGGAGGAAGGTCTATACAGACAGGTAGAAGTGCAGTATCATCTAGCTGTCACCCTTTCCAGGGAAAGCAGCCCTTACCCCAACCCAACAGGTGAGGAAAGGGTGTGGTTCTCAGGATTTTAAGGTCCAGTCCTATTAGGATTCCCTCTTACACAAACCCCACCCAGTCTAGCACCACAGAGGAATAAAATGCTTTATTGATTAAACGATTATTCAGGCGATTGAACTAATCAAAGAGCCCATCGACCGCCATGAATTACATTCTTTGTAGACAGCTTGTTGGAAGAGGCAGCCCAGCTGGTGGGCCACAGAGACCCTCTCCCTGACCCTGGTGTACCTCAAACCCATTTCCAATGCATGCACAACCTCTAGTACCAGGAGCAGGCACCTCTAGGTGTCCCATCTAGAGAAGGCCTCACCACCTGGGGAAAGAAAGGCTGGGGATTGAACGTGAGGAAGAGGAGGTTTCCAGTTTCCCTTTTCTGCACCCTCATCTCAGGAAGGCTCTTCTGGTTCCCCTGCCTCTTAGATTTTTGCCTTCACTTCTTTTCAGTTGCTGTTTCAGAAACACATCTATGCCCAAGAAGTTGTCCTGGGTTTGGGGTCTAAGTTTACCCCTTTCTGTTCTTTGACCTTTGGTTGGAGCTGGAGTAGAGGTAAGGGTTCACAGATGCCCTAGGATGGGGGAACGGAGTTTCTTGCCAGGGCTGAGAGTGTGTTTGTGTGGGATTTGGCATGATAGCCCCCACCTAAAAAAAAAAAAAAAAAAAAAAAAGAGGCCTGCATCAGCATATGCCTCAGAACAGACAGAGGCCTACTGCCACCTCCTCTCAGACATAAACACACACTGCTACCCAGTGCCTGGCCCTGTAGAAGAATTATGAGCCTGTGCCAAGAAAGCGTGTGTGAGTATAGTCACCAGAGCTAAATGCCTTGGCTAGGCACACACATCCACCCACTTGTGCTCTCCTCCATTGGAGCGGCACCCACAGGATAGAACCTGAGCATACAGTGCATGTGTGCACGTGCATACACACATGCAACCAGAGCCTGAGGCTAGTCTAGGTGAAAGCAAAGACAGGCAAAAGTAGCCTACTCTCACCTGCCAAGTATGTACCTGCCACAAGAGACCCTCGTGTACAAATGGTAGTCTTCACACAGTGCCCAAAGAGTACAGTTGTACACACTGCACACCAAGGGCCCAGACCCTGAATTTTCACCTCCAATCCAGGTTCCATCCCCTAACAATATGGGAATTGGGCCTGACTATACATGCTTAGAACAGTAGACCCCACATAGGCCCCAGACCCATGTCTGTGCCTATAGGCAAGCATTCTACAGGATTGATGTACRCATTGGACAGTTGTTGGACATCCAAAAATGGAAGAGTCAAAGTAGTTACCCCTTCCTCACTTTCAAAATAATATGGAATATACAACTGAACACAGAGTCTCCTCAAAGCAACAGAAGTTCACTCAGACACTTATCTAAACTATATATAAAACACAGACACACATTTTGAATACTTAAAAGAACATATATACAAACACCAACTCATAAACACACACTAATCCATACAAAGGTATAAAGATGCACAGACACGCAAACTCTTGGACACATACTCAGGCATTTAAAAAATCGTACAGGGACACACTGAACGCTTTGTCACTCATGCACACGCTGAGCTCCTTATGTAAACACACAGACCCAAACTTACTCACCTCCAAATAGACACCAATACAAACATTCAGAAACAGAGAAACAGGCAAACTCAAAGACACTCGGACTGATGCAGAAATGTGTGAACAGACTGGTTAAAAGATATACAAACACGCTGCAGATAGATATACAATCCCTGAGAAAATACGGCGCACCGCCCCCCACCCCCCTCCAGGGTCACCAGGCATGAGGACCTGTGCCCGGTGGTGTCCCAGAGCTAGCATATCTGGAGCCCATATCGCGGTCCTACCTGTCCTGCCGGTCCGAGGAGTCGGGTAATTTTTCTCTAAATCCATTTTGATATTTCAGGACTTGATGGAATGGACATGGAAAAAAGTTTCCACTTTTTTTTTTTTTTTTTGGTGACTTTTTTTTTTTTTTTTTTTTTTTTTTTGATGCCCGGGGCCGCTCACAGGTTGGAATAATTCAAGCCTTCCGCTCCCCCGCCGAGCTGGGGTAGCTGATCACTGAGCTGAAACTAAACGTTTTAGGTGGAAAAAAAGCGTCCGAAGGCACCGTGAAATGATTAAGGAACTAAAGAGCTTCTCGCCATGTGAGATCATGTCCTGTTCTCGCCAACATCACAAGATGTCCCCAGACACGCCGCGCCCCCATCGCGCCGCCCCGCACTGAGGGCCGGAGCCGGGAAAGGGTGACCGCGCTGTGCAGCCGGGCCTGCTCAGCGTGCCAGACGGGGCGGACCGGGCCGGGCCAGAGCAGCGAGAAACCCGGAGAGCAGCAGTACTGCCGCCGCGCCGCCCCGGACTTTTATAGGGGATGGGGGGGAGGGAAGGAAGGCTTCAGACTGCGCGGGGCTCTGGTCCGCGCGCCTTCGGGAACCGGCAGAATGAAGCCGAACCCCGAACTCTTTATGAAACCTGCGTCTGGTGGTCGTGGCTCTCTGTGCTWTGGTCGGAGCTGGTGATCCCACCATGTGCAAAACCCACTGTATTTGTTGGCCCAGGCCGTGTTTTTGTTTTTAAAAGAAATTAGCCACTCYGTCAAGCAGGTGCTTTTTAAGGGGGTGCAAAGGCTAGCAGTGTTGCCAGGTATTAATGGGAAGTTTCAGCATCCTCAGATTCACCCCTAGGGCGGCGCCCGCCCCCAGGGTTCCCAATCACCCCACCCCACCCCCGTTTGCAGAACCAATACTATGGCTGGGCCTGTAACTCTAGGACAGGGCCAGATTCCTAAAGCCTGCAGGTCCCACTCAGTCTTCAGGTCCCAGATCTCCTTCCCACAGCACGTCCCGTTCTGGCCCAGAGTACAGAGGTTAATCTGTGAAATGCTGGAGATAAATTCCGAGTCCCCTCTTTGGAGCACCCGGGCAGAGCAGAACATCTCTGGAGACTGGCGGAGTTCTGGACACCTTACCCCGGCTTATAAATGGAATCCCATGGCCCTCAGGCCGGGAGACGTTGCGGCATTCCTGAGGCCCCGGGACTTGATTCCAGGGGGGAAATCAGATGGGCAGAGGTGTGGCATGTCCAGCCCGCTCTCTTCCGCCCAGGCTCGAGGATCCCCTCCCCATTCCCCCTCCCCAGTCCAGCTGCTCGACTTGGTCACTGGAAGCCTGTGGGGCCCTGAGGCGGGGTGGTCGCTGAGGAAAGGTTCTCCAGGGCGGGGGAGTGCTCCGCAGGAGAACTCTTGGCCCGCCGGACAATGGCAGTTTCGGAGAGTGAATCGTCCTCTGCGAGTGTTTGTTTTTTGGAGGGGGTGGTCACGAGGCTGGGCCGCAACCTAGGGGGAAGAGCCTAGAGTTCAAGGAGAGGGGGGCGGGCAGCGGGAACCGGACAACGCGTATCCACTAAACAGATTTCTCCACAATCGGAAACGTGGCTGTGGATTCCCGAACGACCCCCCCACCAAGTGGTCTGCGCAGTCCCCCTGCGCCTCCTCCTCCCTGCAGCCTGCGGGTCCGGGGTCCCTACTCAGCGGTTTGATTTTTGACCATCTTGGAGCGTTGGACTCTCCCTCCGCAGCCCGGCCCCAGCTCCGGCTCCCCGCTCTCCCGCCTCGCCCGCACCGGGAGGCAGCGTCAGGGAGGAGCGGCCTGTCCGCGCCTGGAGATCAAAAGCCCTCCCGGAATTGACATTTCACCCCGGGATGGGGGCGGGGGTTGTTGGGGTTTTCCCCCCTCCGCATTTAGAGGGTTTTGTTTTGTTTTTATTTTCTGTTGAGTTTTCTTTTCATGACCTATGAGAATCTTTTGATTCGGGTGTTTTGTGTGTTGTTTTTTGGTGGAATTGATTTTAGTGGTTTTAGTTTTGTCTATGTCTTTTTGTTAGGCTTTATTTTCTGTCTTGTATATTTTGATTTTGTGTGTTTTTTGTACTTTCTCCTTGCAGATTGTCCTTTTGTTTGTCCTTTGCAAGGCTTTTTCTTCGCGGTGTTTTGATGTGTTCTAATTTGGGGTTAGTGGGTGTCGTTAGTGGRTGTTACACGGGTAAATTGTGTGTTTATTTTGTTTTCTTCGATTTTGATTTTGTTTTTATGAGCTGCGCTTTTGGATGGATGCTTCGGGATGGTTTTGTGTGTGTGTGTGAGAGTTGAATTTAGTTTTCGTATTTGTGGGATGCTTCGGTGAATCTCGCGTGTGTGTTTTGGCTTTGGGGGTGTGGRTTAAGGGAGGGGACACCGGCCGCTCCTTCGTTCCTGCCAGCACCCATGAAGTGCAGAGGATTAGGCCAAACATCCTGAACCGTGGGTTTGCCATGCTCCGGAATACCTGACCCCAGAACTGCCGCTTTGCTCTCTGTGCTCTAAACGAGCGCAAAACAAACATGCGTTCCCGAGGGGGCGCCCACTGCTAGCTGGGGACCCGCGGGTCCTGCWGTGCGGGTGCTCGGTTCAGACTTCACAGAGCCCCCTTCGCGCGGTACCCAGGCCTAGCCGCCACCCTTTTGCCCATCCAGTCAGCTGTGGGTCGGTGCCTCCTTAAGCTTGATCAGCGTGCTTCTAACTTCTCCGATTCCCACTGTGTAGGGCTGAGAGGCGACTYCCCGCTGCAGAGCAGGTGATAAACCAAGCCACTTCGGGGGACACGGAATTGATGTTGSGGCCCTACAGTTATGGGGCAAAGGGGCAGACGCGTGGAGTCTAGGAACAGATGGGCATCTGGATCCCTGAAAAATTCCCATCTCCCTTGCCCGAAGCCCAGAAATCCAACCGTGCTCAGCTTTCGGTTTGGATAGCCCGCCTGGTTTACAATCATAGATAATGGCATCCTCACCGAACACAGGCATACACAGCTAGAAAACGAGAGAGAGAGAGAGAGAGAGAGAGAGAGAGAGAGAGAGAGAGAGAGAGAGAGAGAAACACGCCAGCCGGAGCCTTGGTAGCAGCGGCCTGCATGGCGGAACCAGTGATGGCACTGCCTCAAGGGAAACCAAACTGTAGTGACCGGAAATGTTCCAGGGACGCAATAAGGCATTCTTTCTGTCTGCGTTGCCGGGACAACATACCAACCTCAACACACCTCGGATTGTTTAATGCTACAGCAGGGAGRAAAAAAAAGAGAGAGATAGAGAGAGAGATAATTTAGAGGCAGAGAGACATGTTAACTAAGCCGGCAAGGAAAACGAGGACAATCTAAAGAGAAATAAGAAATGACAGAGACAAAACTGTGGGGAAAGGCAAATTTGGGACCTAGGAAAGGGACTAGTGTGGAGGCTCCTCCAGGCCCCTCCGAGCTCGGGCATTCAGTGAGAGAAAGCAGAAATCCCGGACAGAGAGTGACAGGAAAAGAAAAAAGACGCAGAAGGGTTTGGCCTAGGCACGCTGCGAGCTTTCCTCCAGCTAAGATGCTGCATTCAAGGGAGGGGGAGGCCGACGTCGGGAAGCAAGGGACCAACACTGGCCTCTTCAACTCGGCCAGGAAACACCAGTGGGTTCCAAAGCTYGAGGAGCGGGGTTGGGGGTCAGTTCCGCCCAGCGATTCCCCTTCCCTAACCCCCAGCCCGAATTCTAGGAAGGATTGGGCCATCAATGTCCGCCGATGGGCCTTCGTCTGTGCTAGCCTCGGGAGGAGCCGAAGGGAACAAGTCTGGCCCTGGGGCTTCCCGCAGGAGTCCGCCCAGGGGATGGGTGGGAGCAGGCGTCCTGGCAGGAGGCAAGAAAAAGGCCCCGCCCTAGAGCCGGGGTACCAGTTCTGCAGTAGCCTAGCCGGAGATGGACTCGCAGGATTCCCGGTCCGCGCAGAGCGCACGTGGTACCGCACCTTCAGCAGGCGGCACCCCTAATTCTCAGCCCCGCCCTGCCTGGTTTGCCCGGCCTGGACCTCAGTGTGAGAGTGGACGCCGAGTCGCAGCTAGTAGGTCCCTTGGCGATATGAGTTTAGGGTTTACCCAGGGGCGGTACCGGTATGGACGGGGGCGCCTCTCCGCCCTCAACTCCCCGAGCGCAGGGCGCAAAAACAGCGCACAGCTCTGGTCTGTTGCTGCCGCGAGGTTTGAGGCRGTGCCCTCGGCAGAAAGGGGCTGTGGATTGGTTTGGGTGAAAAGATACTTTGGTGTCCGTGAGGTCTCCTACACCTAACRGGGCTTCGAGCTCTGGCTGCTGGCTCGCTGGGGCACCATGTGCCAGCGACTCGCCGCCCGGAAATACTCGGGTAGTTCTGGGATACACAATGGGGATGGGTGTTGGGGGAACCTGATGTTCATGTTGGATTTTTGCTATTGTTTTATTTTTAACTTTATTGCTTTTCTTGCTTTAATTAAAAGTGTTATTGAGAGAATCCTCAAAGAGCGCAGACCTGGGTCGTTTAGATGGGTTCATTTCAACTTAAATCCAGTAATTCAATTCAGTTCCACGACTGGTTTCCAGTGCTCAGATACACATGGCAGACGTCAAGTGTATGCGGTATACATATGCACAGAGACGTGATTTAAAGGCAACTCTTAGAGAATTTTGAGACAAAATTTACTCTCCTGGAGTTACACATTCGAAATACATGAATATGGAAACCAGACCGTCGGTTGTATTTAAAATCTGCCAAACATGTTCGAGCAATTCACTATTACCTAAGAATCCAAAATGAGGCATTGAAGAGTTACTGGCATTCTGAATGAAAACAAGTGTAAATTAGTTTCTTTTTAAATATTCTCTTTTACATTTAATAATACCAGAATACGTAAGTAATAAAATCACATTTTGCTAAAGAAAGTTGATATGTAGGATTTTTTTTCCTATCAGTATTTATACAATGAACTCTCCCCATTTCTTTTTCTTCTGGTTCTCCATGTGATTTGAGCTTTAAATATTCATGCAAGCCCGGACTTACATTTATTTAATATGTTTTAAACTAATAACACTTTAATGTGAGCTAATGTGATTCCGCAAAGTATTGGAACCTAAAGAAACCTAGTTCATATACG